GGCCAGGAAGGTTTTGCTGTGTGTTTGGTGGGATTGGAAGGGAATCATCCACTATGAGCTGCTCCCATATGGCCAGACGCTTAATTCCACCATCTACTGCGAACAACTGGACCGCTTTAAGCAGGCGATCGCCCAGAAGCGTCCAGAATTGGCCAACAGGAAGGGTGTAGTGTTCCATCAGGACAACGCCAGACTACACACTTCGTTGATGACTCGTCAGAAGCTACGAGAGCTCGGATGGGAGGTTTTATCGCATCCACCATATAGCCCGGACGTAGCGCCAAGTGATTACTACCTGTTCCTGTCCATGGCGAATGCCCTTGGTGGTGTGAACTTGAACTCAAAAGAGGCTTGTGAAAAGAGGCTGTCCGAGTTCTTCGCAAATAAGTAGGGGGGGCTTCTACGAAGAAATTGCCGTCTAGATGGAAAATGATCATCGAACAAAACGGCGCATATTTTAACTAATTCCGATCACTGTAACACCTTTTATAAAGCATTGAATGAAGAGCAAAAAAGCGGAAGGGAGATATTTGACAACCTTATATTTGAGTTAAAAAAAAAATTTAAAATAAATTCTAATAACCGTTCAGAAATTTTCTGAACGTCTAATTTTTCTGCCGGAAAAGCACGAGTAGGTATCTGATAAAGTTTTAAAAATTTGCCAAAAGCTTTTTAATAAAAATATTTCTGGAAAGCTTCAAGAGCATGTTATTTCCAGAGAGAAAACCCAAAATTGTTTCAAATAAATTTGGAAAATTTTTTCTCATTTAAATTTTCACTTACTGATTATGCGTTATGCCGCCAAATTCGACCTCAAAAAGTCTCTAATTCCACCGACAAGTTCAATTGAGGTTTCTGCACGATCAATAGCCATCAAATATTTATTTTCCGACATGCTTATTTAAACACTATTAACATTATTGCAATGATTAATTTAAACAAGCGATAAGAGTAAACGATCATAAAAAATGAAAAAGGTAAACAAACATCAATATGCTGATGCAAAGCCAAAACTGATCGGCGCTAACTGAAGACGCTGACAGACGAAGTTGCGCACACAAAAAATTAAAAAAAAAAAAAAAATGGTGAAGGGCATTTGCGCCGACCGGTTGGTTGTATGGCCATTGACGTTTGAGGGATAGGGGGTGAAAGGTTGGTAAAAAAAATATATAACAACTTTTGGGCGCAATTGCCTAAAAGCACATACCTACATGTGCATGTAAATATGTAGTGGTTTTTGTTAACATGTGTATTTAATAGTTATCACGTTTTTGTCTGCTTTTAAAAATATGTTGGGAGCAAATATAATATGTACACATATGTATATATATGTATGTATGTGTGTATTGCATTTGCTTCAACCACGCGTGTGCGTCATTTCGTGCTTCTTTCACAGTGTATATATATGTATGAGTATTTATGTTTGTTTTCTTAAGTGTGTGTGCATTTATTTTGATTGTATTGTGAACTTTTTTTTTAACATACTTCTCGGTCATCAGTTTCGTTTTCACTTTCATCTCGGCATGAAGTAACCAAACCAAACAAAAAAAGTTATTTTATTACGAAAAAAGTCGATCACATGCATGCTTGTGCCATTTGCCTGCTTACATACATACATACATACATGCATATGAGCTTTTTTTGGGCCGAATTTTTAGGTTAGTGATTATGATGATGATGTTTTTGGGCCCGTCCGCTACCATGCACGATTCCATGCTGGCAATCTCTCCCATTTCATGTACCGTTGCTTACACTCTTTTCTCTGTACAATTTATTTATCGCTTTTTATTTTTAATTTATGCTTTTATTTCATTTTTTTGGGCGAAAATTGTAATTTGTACTCGCACATTTTAAAAAATATTTCGATGGAGGCTTTTTTGTTTTTGTTTATCTTGTTTTTTGTATGTACGTACGAGTACATAAAAAAAACAGCTGAACTTTTTTATTTATTTAAATTTTTGGAGCATCTTTTGTCACTATAATTGCGATGTATGTATAAGCACATGTACAGCTGGTGTGTAAAATGGCTCGCTCTTGCTTTGGCTCTTCCAACTGCGTGCCTTTTTCGTATGGGTTTTCCGTTTTACACTTTATTTTATTTTGCTAATTAAATTTGTTTTAAGAAATTATGAATGAATCACTTATGTAGGTATGTAGAGATGTGACTGTTTAGTTTTACAAATAAGTCAACTTGTTTCGTTGAGGGCAGCATCTGTGTATTGTTGCTTTGAGGACATATTTTTGATATACGTCTATATATGCATACGTGTATATATTTCTATAATTTTGAGATGTAGAAGAATATGAGTGCGATGTAGCTACAAAAGTTAGCCCAATGCATTTTTTCACTTAATTTTTTGGTTTCTTATGTGCGTATATTATGTGGAAGAACCGACCCAGACACGCTGTTTTCAAAAAGAGCTGGATTTTTTCTATGTTTTAGTAAGCTAATTAAAAATCTTGAATTGAAAAACACTCTAAATGCACTCGCATAAAATACACTGGAAGGTGCGGAGGGTGCCGCTTCTGAAAGAGTTCAGCCGCTGAGCCATCTCCAGCACTTACTTTGGCAGAAAAGTCGCGCTTAGATAAACGAGTTTGATTTTTTAAGTAAAATACGCAAAATTTAGGTGATATGGAAAGTAATCAACTTATATTAGTAGCAAAAAACTAAGCTATTTTTTAATTTAAGATATTAATAAATGCTTGTAAATAAAAAAATTAAAAATTTGAAATAAAATTGTTTAAAAAATTCCATATGAGCATTTTTCAAAAATTTTGTTTTTTATGTTTGTTTAATTTTAAATACCCCCCCAACCATCTATAAAACTGCTGTAGCCAATATTTTGAAATTTTGATCAAGATTTTTGGAAAAAATTTTTATTGTCATATCTGTGAAATATCTAAAATTTAATTTAAATAAAAAATTAAGTTAAATTTTCTAATGGCGGTCGCCCTTCGGCAGTGAATGTCAACCCCTTCGAGAGTATTTCTGACACAAAAATTAAAAACTGCCCATAAAAAATCATAAGTCGTTCGGAAGTGGCTTTGCATAAGCTGAAGATCTCTCCATTTGATGAAAAAACATCAAGACACAAACGATAAATTGGAGCAGGATCCTGGCCAAAAGTCGCTACAGCGGTTATAAAGCGTCATATCTACATAGGCATTCAAGGTCATACTTTGAATTTTTATATAGATTCAAAGAAACAGATTATGCTGGACAGTGCGACACCTGCTGCCGAATATTTATTTATCGATATCACGAAATTGTCGGCGCTAGCGTTTTTCAAAAGGACTCAACCAGCGTTGCACTTTCCAAAATCCAGCTTTTTTAACATTCTTCGATAGCTTATACCTTCGAAAAAAAAACATACATCGTCCCTAGTTGCGTAACTGTAATAGTTTCGGAGTAGTCCTAAAACTCATGAGATCAGTCTTGTAAGTTTCGAAGTAAGTTTTTTTCACACGCATTTTTTCTGAAATAACGTTTTCGATATTCGCTAGCAAGGCAACTCAAAAATAATCATCCAATCAAATGGCGAATTTTTTATCGTATTTGGCATTATTTCAGGCATAAAGTGACCCGCGGATATTTCGGAAAATAACGTCAGATTTTTAAGCTATATTTTAACTTATTTTTTTTCCCCCAATCGTAAGTCACTTTATAGTTCATGCAATTCTCTTTAACGTCATTTCAAGTACCTTGAAGGCAGTTAGAATGACAGTAAGATGGTGACTTGAGGGTTTAGACTTCCTTGGGATAGCGCAGATCTCTTTGTGAATGCAAAATTTCCGTTTGAAAAAATTATATATAAAGACCCTTATTGATACTGTAAGGCATTCAGTGGAAAAATATTCTTGAAAAAAAATTACAAAAATCGCTTTTTTTTTGCTGACACACTGATAGAGTCAGTTAAGCTAATCCAAACAAATGAAACTTTGTAGTGTTTGTACTACCAGTAAGAACTAGCTGTAAGGAGTAGATTTTTGAGAAATAGCAAAGGAAAAACAAGCAATCATATGTTTTTCATGTTATTTTCGAAATAAAAATTTCAGTTTCAATTTCAGAAATTAAATATCCAATTGCCGTGTCTACACCAGAAATTTTTATTTACCTTGCAATTGTCAACAAAGGATAAAAGTTCTCTCAAAGAAAATGTTCAATAAATTGCTATGAGATAATTATGAAAATATGTTTCAAACATGGAAAAAATTATGTTAAAAATACAAAAGTGGAATTATTATATATATTTAATCCTCTTTATGTATAACTGAATGTAGGTATGTATGACTCTATTATTGGTAGGCAATAATGAATTATTTTGTAATATTCAAAAATAATCACTTCTGAGCGAACTTGCTGAAAATTTGAGCGCCATTTGCTCGCAAGTCTCTCATCAGGGATGCATAATAAAGGTTTTCTGCACCGCGTTGCCAAAAATTTTTCATCCAAACTGAGCTTTGAATAACTGAGTTGTTATATTCCATATTTTTTACTATTGTATATAGTAAGAATTTTTAATATAATAACCTTTTTTCATAAAATAGTATTTTTCTATCCATTTTGACACCACCAGCACACCGGGAAGGAAAAGGGAATAAAGTGGAAATAAAAATTGCACTGTGTGACCCAACAGAAATTTTATTCGAATTGAAATTTTTATGAAAAATTGTAAGCTACGTGTGAGTGCTCTAGATATTAAATTTCCCATTTCGATATGTAATTTGGATTTAATTAATTTCTACTTCTGATGACACCATTATTCTTATTTTTATTAATTTTCTTTTTTTTTTTGCTCTTTTTTTGAGGAATCTGTTTTAGTTTTTAAATTTAAATGTGCGTAATAAAGCATTCAAAATGCCAAATATTTTAATTTTCCTTCTTTTAATTTTTAAAATTATATTTTTTTCAAATTTTTTTAGAATTTTACTCTTTACATCTTATACACATATATATTTTTTTAATTTTTGCGCTTACATTAAAATGATAAATTTACCTGCCTTTTTTGATGAAATTTTCCTTTATTTTTATAGAGCAACACGTCCTGAAATGCTCGAATGTAGCCAAGATGAATTAAGCTGCAGTTTTCTTTTCTTTTTTTTTTTGTTAAATAAGCAAATTCATTAATAAAAGTTTTATTGTTAACAATTTTATTCTTTTTAATTATTTTCTAAATAAGTTGTTATTATTATTATTATTTTTAGTTTTTTGCAGCACCTTTTCAGCAATACACTTGCGCAGTTCCTTCAAAACGCCTCGCAACGGTGAATTGAGTATTTCGAAATTTGCACACATACACACTGGTAGGCACTGTTAAGCACAATTACCGTTAAACTAACAAATGCCAAATACTTCAACAATTTTTAGTGCAATTTGTTTAATAATTTTTTTCTTTTTGTTTTTGTTTTCGATTTTTTCTTTGTTTTTAATAGACACTAGTCAATAATCGTTAAATGCAACTTAAAAGTTTGTTGTCCACAACACTGCTTAGCACTTTTCATACAATTTGAATTTATCTCTTCTCTTGTTGTTGCTGTGTTATTTTTTTGTGTGTTTCAGTTGCTCGCCTGCTCGTTACTTGGTTGGGTATTTGGACTGTTGGTTAGTTAGCACTTAACGGTTCGAATAACTTCCACAGACTAACTGCTCTGCGATCAAAGCCAAGCGTCTTCTATTCGATTCGCTTCCATCTTGTCACCTGTGGTGCTGTTGTAGCTGCGGCTTGCCGTCGGCGCACTTACTATCAGTATGTGGCGTACATGACTGCGTATGAGTGTAAGTGTGTATGGGAGCGTGTAGATATATAATTGTAGTAGTGTCAGCTTTGTTTTGCTTTGAACAGTCTCAGCTTTGCCATTCAGTTGGTTTTGTGTGCATATATATGTGCTTCGGTGTGTGTGCGTTTGTGTATGTGTGGCTGCCTCCCAAGTTGGACCGAAAATTGCTCGCAGTACAAGTCACATTTACACTTGACTCAGACGATTAACAACAACAACAAACAGAAAAAACTGCTTAGCTTTGATGTCTTACTCATACATGTGCGTATATGTTCATATATATGTGCGGTTTTTATGTACTAATGTGCATGCCTGCGCTGGTTTGTGGCAAAAATTTATCTATCTTTATCTGTGGCCAATTATTTTGTCGAGTTTTCACCGTCAGTTGCGTATCCGCCGTGTAGACTGTGATATATAGTGTATGTACTGGAATCATGGCAAGTAATAAAATAAAAATCACTACTTAAAGCTTATGCATATATTGATTTATATAATTTTGATCCATTGATAATATATATTTTTTCGATATTAACTAAAACGCTCCAACACTTATCTCCATTATGGGCTCAGAAAATAATTTTTACTTGTTGATTGTTTTTTATTTCGCTCAAGACGTCGCTCGAACTCGGATCGTTCTTTTTCAAAGGAGTTTTCGGAAAGATTGATATATGACCTTACAAGCCGAATGATTGAATGAGGGAGTTATCCAAGGTTAAGCGATGTTTTTTCGATCACAATAGAAATTATTATTGCTTGAGTGTTTAAGAAAAACTCCAAAAATATTTCTTATTAGCCAAAGTCATAGAGATTATGGAATCATAAATCTCCTCAGGTTTTTGGTGGGATCCTCTATTGTTTTATAACGATTTTTGGATCACTAAAATGAGTTAGCGATACCTTTAACGGTTATAATTTTCGCTATACCTCATTCGACGATATTCGCTATCGCTTGATCAGCTGTTGTCGTCAACTATTCGACAAATCGCTAACTAAGCGTCGAAAATTTTGAAGTCGTTAGAGCCATTGACAAAAGATTGAAGTTTATTTTATTTATTTATTTAGTACATCGGGATATTAGTTAAGCAAAATCATAATCAAAAATGGCATTTGGGTACTTGGCATCCAAGATTCAGTTAAACTTATCATTTCTCAACTTGATGCCCATTTAAAAAGCAGAAGAATAACAGCAATATCTACAGAGAAACAGGTAATAACATAACTTTTATATATTTTTTTCGGTTCTAACACTATTAACACCATGTGGAATATCTATGAGTCAGTCGTCCATAAGCCCGTGTATCCATGCGATCAATCGTTCGATGTTTCTTGTGAAGATTGGACTTATCATGACCCAAATAGAGCGGAAAGGTGCAATGAAATTCTTACCTCATCATTTTCACCATTTTCATCTGTCAATAGCCCCAGAAATCATGAAAAAGCCTATCTCAACCACCATGGATAACATTCTATCAATGCGCAAAAGCTGAAAGTAAATATTTTTTGCAATTTTGTAGTAGCACAACTCATTGCGAATCAAGATTTTGGCAGTAAATGCTAAGTACTCAAGAGCGAGGTGCGTTCTTTTATTCGGAGCTACAGTTCGAAGAGTCATACAGCGCAGTTTTGAGAGTGAAAGCATTATATGGTTTTGATTTAGTAAATTTTGCATTTCATTGCAACTCATTTAATTATTTGTTTTTGTCATTGCTCTTTATGCTTTTCGCTCATTTTGACGCTTATAAAAATTAAATATCAGTTTTCGATTATCGTCAAAAAATTAGTAAGCGAATCGTATGATGGTTAATGCAAGCAACAAAATCGTAAACGAGATTTTAGAAAAATCTTATCGATAAAAGTTGCTGAATTCCACTACTGAAAAGAGAACGCAACTGGCAGCTTTCTGGTGGATTTTTCTATATGCTACTTCCCCAAGTAGATGATTTTTTTTCATTAAAGAACACAAAGGCAATTATTATTTACAGTTGTAGGTTTAAATATATAATATATTTATATATATATATATATATATATATATATATATATATATATATATATATATATTGTCGCTGAAGCGATTTTCGGCAGACGTTTTTCCAACGACTGGAGGGACCTGCAATGTAGACTAAGCCAACTCCGAACGGCTGACGGTTTTTTATGAGGATCTTTTGATTTTCATATCAGAAATACACTCGAAGGGGTTGACATTCCTTGCCGAAGGGTGACCACAATTAGAAAACATAACTTATTTCTTTTTTAATTTAATTTTCTATAACTTTTAGATGTTGGTTATGCCAGGATTTGAACCTGGGCTTTCCGAATGGCAATACGCAATGCCAGCCGTTCGGCAGCCAGGTTTATATGAAATATAATTATAGGTAATTTTTAATAATTTTTTTCTTAAAAAAATAACTAGAACAGAAGTTTCAGTAAATAACAGTTTTAATAAGCGATTTTAATAGTTTTTAAATACAAATCACAGAAATTTTTATCTGTCAGCGAATTTTGAGTTAAAAATAAGGTATTTTAAACAATAAATTGCATATACATATATTTTTTTTTTGTATTATTCACCGATTCTCTTTGCTTCTGAAGCAATTTTATGCTTTAAAACATACTCGAAACTACTTTTCTTTGCACTTTTCTGTATGAGCGGCTTTCGCGTTATGCATTTTTGTTTTTTGATTTCTTCTTCGTTTTCGTTTTACATTCTTGGTTGGTTATATTTTTATTGCTTGCAAGTTAACGTTTCGTTTTTGTGTTTCTTTATCACTGTTTTTTTTATATTTATTTTTTCACTTCCAAAGCTGTGAATTGGATTTTGAGGTGAAGTTCATGCCAAGAATCGGTGTTTCTTCCTCAGCAGAAAACTTAAGAAAGTAAAAAGTTTTTGTAAACATACAGCAACAACAGCAAAGAAGTAATAAACAATAATTTAGTAAAGCTAAACGGTATAATAGATAGTAGAATGAATTTGTATCATTAACAACTCGATAAAGAAATTTTAAAACCGGTTAGCTTTTTCGGTATCATTTGCAGATGTCCACTGGGACTGGCGCTTAACCTGGAGACGACACATTGCTTCTAAAGAGCTGCAGCTTAAACTCAAATCTGCCAATCTGCTAGTTTACATTGGCTTTTAAACAAGAAGTCTGGTCATAGCCTCTTATATAATGCAACCATAAAACCGATATGGATGAATGAAGTTGAGTTTAGGGGCACAGCTTGCACGACGAATATAGATATAATTCAAAGGTTCCAATCAAAAACGTTAAGAGTAATAACGGGCGCAGCATGCTACATGCGTAATGAAAATATCTATAGAGATCTGAATATACCCACCATCAAGGAAGAGATTGATATTGCAGAACAAAATACTTGATAAAACTGCCCAACCATCCGAATCCTTTGGCTAACATTAACCATTCCAACTACTGGGTTTTATGTTTTAAGTTAGTTTAAAATTTCATTACTTTTTGCCAGGCCTCTTATCTCGAAGCAGATTCAATAAATAAATATTAATGATTAAGAAGCATATCTTCGAATCGTTGGCTGTTAAGCGATCTTACTGATAAGGTGGAGAAAACGATACGAGCTTAATAAAATAGACCATAAAGGAAGCGAAGGAAAATATCTGGTAATAAAACAGGACAAGGCGAAATATCTCCTGTCATAAATAAAACAGTTACTTTTTTATCCCACGTCACTGGGGACAGTTGTAAACAATTTCGTATATCTGCGAATCCGGTTGTTAATCATTTTCAATGTAGAAATCCAACTCAGAATCACTCTAAATGAAATTGAAAAGCAAAGCTCTTTATCGAGAAGCGTGGACGAAGCCAACATTACTATCACCCTATCACTTTAACTGACCTTAAGCAACACTAAAAGCTCCGTCAGGATCGGGAAAGACCTCTCCGAGCCGTTTGATGTCAGACGAGGTTTCAGACAAGGCGACTTCTAATCGTGTGACTTCTTTAATTTGATTCTGGATAAAATAATACGAGCTGCAGAGCTGAATGGAGAAGGTACAATCTTCTAAAACAGTGTACTGCTCCTGTCGTACGCCGATGATATCGAAAATATTTGCCTCAAAAACCGAGCCGTGAGATCTGTTTTCTCCAGACTTGATAAAGAAGCGAAGCGAATGGTTATGGTAGTGAATGAGGGTAAGATGAAATATATCTATTAATGGTTCCAAAAAAAAAATAGCGGCAAATAAAAGAAAATATTGAAAATTATTTTAGACTCATTTTGCTGCCTTTTTTACAATGAATTTAATCACAGTGCGGTGCTCCATATCGTGAGAAGTTTAACTTATCGTGGGCATACTGTTGTTGCTTGTTCCAGGAAAGAAAAATATTTTCACTTA